GCGATGCGCTGCCGCCGCCACTTTCAGATGGAGTACACAGCCACGCCCACCGCATCCCAGGGGTTTGGAACAAAGCGATGCGCTTTAGATACCCATCACCGTCATTGTGCCACAATCAAAGCTGACGCAAGGAATGACGCCCAGATTCTCGCAGTTTTATTTCTCTTAGTTGTGCTTTCTCATATTTCTCATCAGAAAGAAAAGTAAAAGAACTGAGGAACATTCACTGATGTGCTCTCTGAAATGGAATTTCAGTTCGTTACCAAAAACGCTCCAATATTTGAAGACTGAGCTCGACGCCGTTCAGATGGAATTTTTGAATAAGGTGGCACACAACAGTCGTCCAAACGCGTTCCCACTGTTTCTTGGTGAGTCTCTCCGCAGTGTGCTTCAGATAGCACATATCTCTCGATATCGCTTGTTGACGACTGCGACGGGGGGCACTTAGCCTTTCCGCTGCTTCACTAGTTATGGTTTACATAGCTCACTATGGTCAAACCCTTGTCAAGATGGAGCAAGCTCGTCGAGCCACCTTGCTCAAACCTGTCAGCTCAAGAAGAGACCCTATATATGGTTGGACACGTCGATGGGAAGCAGCAAACGTGCAAAATGCCCCCCCCCCGCAAGTCGCCGAACTGCCCCGAATAACATCGGACTACTATAAGAGAGTAATGTTCCTCAACCTTTGAGAACCAACCCTCCTTTTTCATCTTTAGTATACGTTGGATAACCGCAAAGTTTTGTGTCATGAGGGACTAGAACCTCGAGTTGGGGACACCTCTTTTTCCCCCGATCAGAATGGGATCAACGAATTTTTGGACAATTGTTTTCTCAAATGACGTTCTTTTAGACGTTATGTGTTCAGGTAAAACTATAGAGGGTGGGAGTCGTGCATTGGTAGGGCTTCCTCCCATCAAGGTAGACTTGGACGACTATGGAAATTGCAACAAGTATTTAGATAAGTATTCATACGAATTGGAAGAGTATCGTCTTAGTGGCTACAAGGTTAGTAAAGTTCATGAAATTGATAAGTGAAAAAGACGACATTAATAAACTGATGGTGAGCAGAATTGTTTCAAAAAAAACATCGAGAAAGCGAGTCGCAGTTATTTCAGAGGGAGCTGAGGATCCAAAGTTGCTAATGGGGCGTGTCTGTGAGGTGGTGGGGTTGTTGAGCAGGTGAGCGAAAATAATTGGTGGAGAATCCGATGTCTGATACGAAGGATATGCTACAGTCTTGTCGCTTGCCAAAAAAGAAGCCGCTCAAGGAGACGGATTTGGCTGGTGCTCGCCAAACCCATCCCCTTTACACGCCCCTTCATCTGCAGTGAAGTCGCAGCGAAAAGGCTGTGAATTACGGCTTCTTGTGAACCACACATAGAAAAATAGAAGGTGCCTCTCGACCTACAGGACTGCAAGTAACTTTTTTAAATTGGCACAGGTAAAAATGCAGGTGATTCGAAGGGGTGTTGAATGGTTTCAAGGTATCTAATGGTGTCAGATGATCTTTTTCGTCAAGATGTACTTCTGCGGACCTCATAGGAGACAATAGCAACCAAGATATCTACGCAGGACCCCTTTGTTTTGAGAGAGCACCCTTGGCGGAAGAAGTGGGTCTTAGTGCGTATTGACAGGACGACAGGATGGTCTGCTTGTTCTTCAGACCTTAGTCCTATGATCCCTGTGCCTCAGCACTTTGTTCTGAACTAGAACAACTAGTCTATAAAAAACCTGCGATTAGAAACGAAAAGCAATACTTGCAAAATGGAATTAGATACAAAAGAGGTTGTGCAAGGTTTCACTGAGGCCATGTTGCGAGTTGAGTGTGGTCTACAACATCGGTGATCATACTGCTTTTTTCAGACTATGGTGGCACAAGATTGGGACGTTGGTTTTCTCTATTACCCGAATTGTTCGGGACTCAACAGATCTGAAGCGGATCACATGTGGAGGTATCGTCGTCACGTGTTAACTGTCATACTAGTTCTGTTATCGATGAACTAAATGGTGGTCACAGTTCTCCTGAGACACACCATGTATCAAACAATCACCTAGGCAGCGTTCAGACTTCGCGACAGCAGAGCTTCGGTCGCGAAGTTTGAACGCTGCCTTATGGTTAGAGACACTGATCCTGTAGGGGAACGGTGTTCCAAC